GTGCTCACGGTACTGGCTTCTCTTCCATGTCTCTATCCAGCCTGGCTGGAGCTGTCAGGAGAGCTGCCTTCTTCACAGCTCCTGTTAGCTGGGATGGTTGCCTTGCATCTCTGCTGCCTTGGATGCAGCATGCATGCAAGTTAGCGACAAAAAAACAACTGCATTGTATTATAGCAAGATTATAGAAATAGGAAGGGACATTGATAGGAACAAAAATAGCATCTACAATAACATTAGCTAGGATAAAACTAATCAATTGGTGTGCTCTGGGGCATGTGTTAATCCCTTTCCATGGTATAGGGTTGCACAATTAGGTACATTATGGAAGGTTTAACACTCCCCGCCAATGCACGCGGCATTGGCTGGAAACAGAGAGTGCTGCGATCTGAGCTGGCAGTCCTTGAATTCACAGCATTTGCAGAGGATTCAAGGAGCAGCTGCACTACTGAGGTTTGCTTTAGCAGATGAGCAACACCAAAGGGGACCCAGAGAGGATGAGGAACTCACTCAAGTGCCTGCTCATTGCTCCCCTGAACTGAAAGAGGGGGAGTGGTGGATAAGCTTAATTCAGCCCACTTTGTGGGAACATTAGGTGCCAATTTTGCCCATTCCTGGCTGTGCCCAGCATTGGAGTCACCAGTGACTCATTCCTCCAGGAATCAGATAGGCAAATCAGGAGCATGCAATCTGTCTACAGAAAATGGCTGAAGGCCACAATGAGGCAGCATACCCAAAGTACAAACAGGACGATGTGTCTTTGCAACAGGGTGCTAGTAATTTCCTTCCATCCTAAGGTCCTCCAGAGATGCTTGGAACATCATTTTCCAAATCACAGGCACAGGCAAAGAGGAAAGTGAAAGTCTAGCTGTGAACAGAAAGATGTTTCCTTATTCTTTGTCTTCTACAAAGCTGAGACTGGCAAACACAGTCCTTCCACCTTCACCCCTAGTCTTGTGATAGATGAACTCTGGGGAATCCTGTTAAGCCTAAAATGTTGCCATCCTCTGCTGTTTGCCTGGTCACTCAGCACAAGTTTGTTACCCTAAAAGCAGCAAAAGCAGAAAGGAAGCTGTGCCTCCATCTCACAGCCAGGCATTAAATAGCATAACCTGCTGAGGAAGATGTAAGGATAAGTTGACTTGCTTTGCTGAGAAGGGGAAAAGTTACATTGCAGACATGCTGCCCTGTTCTGCTCACTGCTACAGTGGAGGCATCATCCAACAGCAATGAATGACGAGGGGTGGGAACACTTTAAATGACCATGGCCTGTTACTTTAGCTGAAGTGACTTGGGAATGAAAGCTGGACAAATGTTCATACAAGCACATTTAAGGCAGGAAGCTCAGCTTGAGTTTGCAAAGAACCTGCAACAACAGCTCAGAGCTGCAGACTTTCCTTTTCATCTAGCTCGAATGCCACATCCCTCCTCTTAATTATCTCACTGCTTGTCACGGCACATCAGAAAGAAAAATGCATCTTTTACAGAAAAGATTTTTACCCATGTTTCCTAAAAGAGGGAAAAGGCACAGAGTTGACTGTGAGCAACAAACGTATATTTTGGTTTCATTTTCCTGAAGCAGGTTGCAAAACCTCGCAGGAGCCAGCTCTTAACATTTGGAAAGCACCACCATGGCCAGTCACTGTCTCTGAAAGCATCCTCAAGCATCCCCAGTGATATCTATAACCACACCTGAGGCCAGCTGAGCCCACAACATGCAACGTACAGGATGAGGCTGCATGGGATTAGATGAGACCTGTATGTAACTTGCTTACTACAGAGCAGGAGTCTAATTAGAGCTCTTCCCAGGATCTAAAATTAAAAACAGCCCTGAGTTCCCCCACCCATCCCATTTCTCTGCTAATATTGTACCAGCACAACCCAGTCAGCAGAGACATGTCGTGCTGTAGACCAGTGCCACGTGCTGGCAACAGCATGTGACATTGCTGACACAGCAAAGTGCCCTCCTTCGGGAGAAGGTATCCACTGGTGCCTCTGCAAGAGATGTGTATCTGCTCCCAAGACTGGAGAACATAGAGTCAGGGTTAGGAAGCTGAAATTAAAACAGGTCGACAAAGCTCTACTAAGACACTCACTCCTATTTTCTGTTTGCCGAGCCATAAAATATACATTAATGGCCCAGCAGCTTTGTAAATGATTTATGGTCAAAAGAATAAATTTCTCCCTTCTCTCCTGGTTAAAAAAAAAAAAAAGGCACAACATAGTGATAAACTGCTTAATAAGGGAAAACAGCTCGAGGTTTAAATACGTTCAATGGTATATTGAGTGGGAAGGACAGAGCCCATAAGGAATAAGATTAAAGCCCAGTAAGGGGAGCTGGCACAGGGGGAGGCAGGATGAATGGGTGGGGAGGCTGAAATATATGAATTGGGTGTCGTGGGAAGAGGCAGGAGCACGGGGTGCAGCTACATGGGAAAAGAGGTGGGGATGGGGGAAGGAGAACCAGCTCATCAGTGACTTTAACCCAGAATGCATCAAGATAGGCATTCAGCATATCCCTCCACCTCCTTCCCCCACTACGGGAAAAATGCCATTGAAACACAGACTGCAAACTTGCACCTGAGTGGTTTTTTCATCTACCCTGACACAACCATCATTAGGTCTAACTCCAGTGCAAATAGTCCCAACCTACAGTCCAACTACGGTTCAACTACTGTTACTCAAAGCACCAAGAGTTATGTCCATGCTCCCCCAAAAGGAGAAGAGCAGAGGGTGAGGGACAGAAAAGGGACAGCACCTCACCTATTAGGCACTAATCACAAGGTGAAGATGCATGGACACATTGCTGCATGGCACTTTCCCTGCAGACACCACTGACATCCTCTGGGTGTCATCCAGGAATCTCAGGTGGCCATGTGAAACCCAAGGTTTGTTGGTGCTGCTGCATCTTCCAGAAATGATAAGGCAGCAAGATAACAGGGACACGATGCATGCACAATGCATCCACTCACTCAGATGTTGATGGGCTACACCACAAACAGGAGCGCATCCATGCACGCAGGATTGCATGTATGACACAAAGCCTCTGAGGCCACAGCAGGGTTTGGGTCACCACCGAGGGCTCCAAGGAGCTGGGACTTCCTGTGTGAGAAAGCTCCCCTGGAAGGAGGAGAGCCAAGGCTGGGACAGACCTGGATCAGGCTGGAGAGGTGCTGAGCCCCAGGAGGGATGGGTTGGGGAAGGGAATGCGGGGTTGCAGTAGCACTGTGGGACCAGGGATTGGGATTAAGGAAGTACAAGAGACCATCAACAGTGGGTCCCGGGAGTATGAAATAACTCCCCAAGCCATGGACCCACATCTCCAAGCCAAATGAAGGGGAACTTCCTCAATGCTTCCTGGGGTACCCACCTTACCTGCCTTCCCCCATTACCAGGATATTTCAGCACCATCATCACCCCATAGTTGGTTATGATGGTCCATGGTGGGTTATGATGGGCTGGTCCCTCAACAAAAGGGTGCCTAAGACAAAATAAAATAAAATTTAATAATTTAAAATAAAAGCAGCCCCTGAGGTAACAGAAATTAGCCATTTCTGAGAAAAAAAACCTTTCATTTATAGACTGATCCCACTCTCCTAGAAGTCTGGAAGGACTGTCACCAGGATAAGTATCAGATCCCTTAGGAAACTGGTCCAGCAACCCGCTGAGAAAGTGCCAACAAATTGGCTATGTGCTTTCCACACTAGTTTTGTATCTTCTGTATGAAATGCTCTCATCCTATGGAGTACACAAGCTTTGCAAAGGAGAGGATATTTGGCAGATGTTCTTTGGTGTTCACTGTGCCTTTGAGCTCCTCTAAAAACTTCCCTGCTCTGTGTCTCAGCTGTGAGTCCTACCTCACCTACACTGCTGTCTGCATGGCCAGCAAAGTGTCCACACAGATCTGGGGCCACTTGGTCAGACACTAATGCCTGGACCGATTTGACATGTCTTAGCAGTTCCACTAAAGGCAGTTAAGTCACTGGAAATACACTTGATATTTAAAAATTAAGCACATGTTTAAGTATCTCGCCAAATTGGGGCTTAAAGGTCTAATCACATTTGCATCCATTTTGATAACAAAACTCCTGTGCCCTGCTAGTAAGAGAGAGAGCCTTTAAATGAGAACATGCACAATCACAGTGAAACTTCCATCTCATATATAATACTCAAAACAAGCTTGATAAAAGCATTATTTTCAGTCTCCAAAAGCAGTCAGATTGAAACTGGCTTTCATGGGGATGTTCAAAGACATTAGACTTTCAGATCTTAAGTTTTGTTAATCCCAAATTACTTTGGATATAAAATTATTAAAACCAAACAAACAGAAAAGAAATAAAAAAGGCAGGCTCTTTTTCATTTAAATGGAAAAGAAAGGAAAACCCAAATTTGTCTTCTGATCTGGCAAATGTCAGGTCAGTAATTGAATGTTTCAGAATATGAGTTGAGCTGTCTGAAGGAGGTTGTAAAAGGACAATTTTCCACTGGGGGAAAAAAAAAAAAAAAAAAGAGTTTTCATTAAAATCAAAATAGGTTGTAAGAATATCAACTTTGATGACATTTTCGGTCAGTGAAGTCAAAATGAATTGCTTCAGCCTTCCCGTTTAATTATGGCAATACTGGCACACTTCAGTTCAATAAGGTAAAAACCCTTTATTTCAATCCATTTAAACTTTTGCCATATATTTATAAATTGCATAAATTCTGACTTTATATCATTTCATTCAGTAACAGTACAGTGTTATACACACACACAGACTTAATACACTATGGCAGTTCAACATCATGTGAACAGTGTCTTTTCTCAGTGGAAATTTCCCCTGATTTTTGTTCCATCCACTAAAAAATCTGGACTCTTACTGTGATGTGAAACGAATCACAGAGGACACATTAGGACTTCCCTGGAACAGATAACAAGTTCATTACCACGAGCCGGCAATGTGCGCCCAGAAGGCCAACCATATCCTGGGCTGCATGAAGAGAAGTGTGGGCAGCAGGTTAAGGGAGGGAATTCTGCTCCTCTACTCTGCTCTTGTGAGATCCCAGCTGGAATGCTGTGTCCAGTTCTGGGGCCCCCAACATAAGAAGGACATGGGCCTACTGGAACAAGTCCAGAGGAGGGTCACGATGATGATCAGGGGGCTGGAGCATCTCTCCTATGAGGACAGGCTGAGAGAGTTGGGTCTGTTCAGCCTGGAGAAGAGAAGGCTCTGGGGAGACCTTCTAGTGGCCTTCCAGTACCTGAATGGGCCTACTGGAAGGCTAGGGAGGGATTTTTCAAGGGCACATAGTGATAAGATGAGGCATAATGGCTTTAAACTGGAAGAGGGTAGATTTAGATTAGATATTGGGAAGAAATTGTTTCCTGCGAGGGTGGTGAGACACTGGCACAGGTTGCCCAGAGAAGCTGTGGCTGCCCCCTCCCTGGAAGCGTTCAAGGCCAGGTTGGATGAGGCTTTGAGCAACCTGGTCTAGTGGAAGGTGTCCCTGCTGATGGCAGGGGGTTGGAACTGGATGAGCTTTAAGGTCCCTTCCAACCCAAACCATTCTATGATTCTGTAATTTAGCTATGAACAACTCCAGCCCAGTCTTCTCATGGGAACACCCAGAGTTCAGGAGCTTTAGGTGTTTCCATGTGAAATTTGGTCCTGATGGTGCTCAAGTGGCCAGTGCCAGGCACAGACGCTTCCACACATGAGCCACAAGAACACATCTATTTTAAGCACTTTGCTGTCCTTTCCTTGAATGAGAGTTGCACCCTGTCCTCAGGGAGCTCTGCCTTCCCTACCTCCCTACCCCAAAACTCAAAGCTTTGCTGCAAATGCTGCTGGCTATAAATCAAACCCTCACACTCCAGCTATTTGGGATAATCATTCCCTCTATTGCATGATGGAAGCAGGACCAATACATAAAATATGTGCAGCCAGATTAATGCAAAGTCTGCTGCACACCTGTTTGACGTGCAGATACATGCCAGCACAGGGCGCAAAAGGAAACAAGTCCTAATGCTGGGAGGTTCTCTCTGCTCACAATGTACCCAGGGTGGAGGCATTTGCAGTTCTAAGTGTCCAGACTGAGATTACTGGGCCTGACTTGTCCCAAACGTTGAGCTGAGCATCCTCATCACCAGCTGGTCCTAGCCTTCCTGCTCTCTAGACGGGTAGCCAGCATCATGCTGGAAAAAGTTCAAGTGCACAAAGTCACACCAGCAACTCTAAAATATGCTAGCAGGTATGGTACTGGGGCAGTGCAGAGCATCTCCATTTTGCAGTGAGGAAAAACAAGATGGACAGAGGGTGTAACTCACCTACACACCACGCAGCAGGTCGATGGTGAGACAAGAACAGGACTTCAGCACCTGATTCATGGGCCTTGCTCTGCCTATTAATCACACTTTCCACCACTGTGCCAAGTATTAGTATTGATTTCAAATTAACACACACATTTCTTATCATGGAGAAAAAAAATTACCAAGAAGGTTTGCTATGTTCAGCTCTGTTGGAGGCCAACGTGATTGTAAGAGCAAATGCTTCTGCAAGGGGCCCTGGTTCAAAGCGTGCCAGGCTGGGACACACATGGCAGCACCCTCAAGGAACTGTC